CTGGGCCTCCAAGAGTGCTAGGATTACAGGTGTGAGCCACAGTGCCAGCCTTTTCCAAATTTTTAACACCTGAGTTTGAAAACACAGCTCTAGCCATTTTGATCTGGAGAAAATGGTGGTAGGACATAAGAGAACAGAAGACAAAGTTGTTCTAGGAAGAACTCTAACATATGAAATTTATATACATAAACATGTACTGAGACATGATATAATTAAATAGTTCCTGAATGACATTTTTGTATGAGACTTTGGAGATAAAACTGAATGTGTTGTCCAACCATCTCATAAAGTGTGCTCCTCCTAGAGCACACTAACAAAAACCATTTACTATTATCCTTTCAGTAATTAAATGCAGTACCAAGAAATAGAAGCTAAAAGCCATCATAAAATAAGAACTGAGTCCCTCAAAGTAAAAATAAACTCACACTTGAATGCTATTAAAAACTGTGAAGGGTCTGTCTGGCCTATTTGCAAGATAACCAATTAGCCTGCCACCATTTCTTGGATGCCGGCAAAAGACACAAGACTCCTACATCAGAGGCAAAAATTTTACTAATCATAGCACAGCAAGCAGCATGAGCTTCAAGTTTGCATTCGTTCCTCGTGTCCCCCAAATCCCATAGGGCAACTCAGAAAGGCTTGGATGGATGCTGTGCATGTAAAGGGACTGAATCACAGCTAAGGAACTGTGAACTGAGGGAACCCAAATCTTACATCAAGCAAACCTGCCTGACCTTTGGAGACATTAGTTTAACAATACTAGAAAATAAACAAACTTGCTCTCTGCTCCAGAGGGAGATACTGTATCTTTCAAGGCTGTTCGCTATACAAACATCATTGGAAAGACAGTCCAGAACAAAGCTAGTGTTTCTGCTCATAATATGTGCATAAATTCAAAAGAGCCATGAAGCATCTTCTCCCAACGATTACACACTTATTATGGATGAACTTCCCATTGTGGCTTCCTACTCAAGTCTTTCTGCAACCCAAGCTGCCTCTTTATATTAGCAGACTTTAAGCTCCATAAGAAAAGGAACATTCTTTTGTTCACCAAAGTATTCTAAGTGCCTAGAACAGAGCCTACCATAAAGTAGGTATTTCACACACGTTTGCTGAATCAATGAAGAAATTATTAGGATCATAATATCCATTCTGTTCTGTAACCTGTATTATCACTCAATAATACATGGCAAACATGTTTCAATGAAAATAAATACAGAGCCATTGCTCATTTTTAATCATTGTATAACTTATTACACAGCTTTGTAATTTATTTATTCATATAACTACTATCTCCCTTACTAGACTATGAAATGCTTGAACAAGAAACACTGGGACAAGGTTTAAATATCTAACTTGAAATATACTACACTTTTGCTGGGTAAAACTTATTCTCTCAGAGCTTTAGTTCCAAGGAGAGATGGAACACAGAACTACTTCATCTTTGGTAGAGCACAGGGCAAAAGAGGTGACTGACACTGGAGTATGTAAGAAGAAACCAGCAAAAATTTCAATGAATGCTTAAATGCCAATTGTACACTAGAGACAATTTAGATTTCTCTGGGAACCCTGGTCACAAGCAGAGTCTGCACTCAGTCACAAGCAATTTTCCATGAGCTCTCACCAAGTACTCACAAGAGACAGTGAAAAAGGGGCAGGAGACCTGAGAGAGCCCCTGTCTGGTAGGGCATAGGAATGAAACTCCATTCATTTTCTAGGTCATTCTCTCATGGGAAGCAAAAGCCTTAAGCTAAGGGGTGAAACCTTAGCAAACAGAGTCTCAGTAAAGGTTCACTATCTCTGTGAGAGACAGGAAACCATCACATTCGTGTTTCAGGCAAAGGCTAACGTTTTGCTCTAAGTAAGGGGCATAAATTGTCTATCCTTAAGGAAGGAGCAGGAAACCCCTTCCCATCCCTATCATGAACTTTACAATAAACAACAAGCAAAAGAGAAAGTGTAGTGGCTCTAAGATGTGTCAACTCAGCTAGACTGAAGTACTGTTTTCCAGAATTCCTTTCCTATATGTTTCTGGTTAGGGCGAGTCACCCATCATTTTTGCACAAGACTTGGAGAGGGGAAGTAAAGCAACAGCCATACTGGTTTTCATGCCTAGAAGGTAGGAGCAGACGCTTGTGTAATTCACAACCATTGTTGCTTATCTGCTGTCTTGTTGGAGTGAGCAGCAACTTGACCTATAACTATTCCACATTTCTGTGGTTCCTCCTTTAGCTTCTTCAAATACTGGACCAATTATACATTTAAGTCCATGATAAAGGGTGCTGACTTTTCCTATAGAACACCCACATTAATTAGACTTGCAGACAGTGAGATCTGACACAGATTCTATGTCATGAGATCCAGCTCACGCTCATGGGTTCAAGCTTATCCTTGCTTCCTCCTACTTTACAACAACCTTCCCTTCCCAACTGTCAGACCTTTGGATATAAAGCCCCAGCATCAGACATGAAGAGAAGAGAACAACCTTACAAAGACTGTTTAATGAGTACCCACAATTACATATGGTCAAATCCCTATGCCACGTCTTTGTGTGTATGTATGTGTATGTATTAATAACTCCCAGTGATCCTGATTCTCTGACTGAACCTATTCGTGATAAGCACTTTCAGCAAACTAAGAATAGAGGGAAA